TCTTAAAACCCTAGAACCCTAAACCCTGAATCTTAAAACCCTAGAACCCTAAACCCTGAATCAACGCCTGCATTTGGGCCTCTCGCGGGCTGTTGCTTCGGTTGATCGCCCGAGCGCCCTTCTGAAGAGTGGGCTTCTTGTGGCGCCGCCGACGGCTTGCGGCCCTTTCTCGATGTCAGGGATCCTGCTTTTAGGCACGACTGCAACAATGTAAAGAAGTTCAAGATGCAGAGCCTTCAGGGCGCTTTGGGCACTCCTATAGGAAGAGCTCAAGTTTTCCGGTCTGGGGATCCAGAGTGTTACGGTTCAGGGGTTGGGAAAATTATCCGGGAAAGTCTGTAGCTGCTTGAACTTGTTTTCGCATCCCGGTTCGCCCGATTCTGCTACTTCTGAAAGTCTTTCCCAAGCAAGCTCTAAAAGGAAGCGGCGCGCAGAAATATATTTGAGTCATCCATGAGCCTTTCGTGTTTCTTAAGGGTTTACGTTGTTGGGAAGTTAGGCTTTAACCAACAAGCTCTGTTGGGGCCGCAACAGTTTCACTGGCCTGGCGCAAGCTTGCCACCCAACAATGCAAAAGAAAAGTCTTTAAGGTTTAAAACCCTAAGCCCTAAACCGTTAGTCACTCAGGGATCTGTTTTCACCTGTTGGGATACGTAGCATGTCAGAGGATCTACTGGGCCAACCTAGTACCTATACCCGGAACTCATTGTTAAGCCTTGGAGAAGCCGGTTGACGCGATATGTGAGGATAGTTAGAGCCCGCAGCTCCTAAAACCTTGAAGGAATCGGAAGCCCCTCCTAAAATCGCCCCAAACCCGATCTAACCCTATCCCGAGACACCAAATCGTCAAGCCCTTAACGACAGCACATTTCTGAATTCCATTCCCTGAAGCCCTAAACCCTGAAACCCTTAAATCAAGCGGACTACAATGTTGGGTCCTAATCCCTGAACTGAGCGCCCGGAACGCCCTGCAGACCTTGCTTTCCTTCGTTTTTTTGTTTTTTTTACTACTGTAGGTGTTTGGGGTTTAAGTTTCGGGTTTAGGGTTTAGGGTTTAGGGTTTAGGGTTTAGGGTTTAGGGTTTAGGGTTTAGGGGTGTGCAATACAGGAGCCATTCAACACAATCATCTAAAGTTGCTCTGGGACCCAGTGGTGGCACCACGGGGGCTTAGGGTGTGGACTCGGCCTGCGCCTTTGCATATAAACCCTAAACCCTAAACCCTCAACCCGAAACCCTCCTCAGGCCTAAAGGATGTTATGTGCGGTTAGGCCGTGACAGGCTCGGTGGCTTGAAGTCACCGGCGTTGGGGCCGGCTTTCGGGGTTTGGGTTGGGATGTTCCCCCTTCTACGAAGAGTCCTTAATGGGGTTTATAATAGGGGGTACTATATTCCCTATTAAGGACGGCTAGTCAAAGGGGAATCCCAAGTTTCGTGTCGGCTTCATTGCTAGCGTTGCGGCTTGCCAACCCCCCCGCGCAGGTGAGCGGCCGCTTGTCCCTGGTGTGAACCTTGAGAGGTTCGGAGTCCTGGGCACTCCTTGGGTTTTTAATGTAGTTTAGCATTTTTGTTTTTTTCGGGTTTGGGGTTTAAGGTGAATTCAGGCGGGTAGGGCTTCAAGAGGAGTTGAGTGTATAGATGTTGTGCGTGTTTGACTATTTCATTTTTATGACAATGTTTGTGCTGAATTGTGGAGAGAATGCAGTATTTTGAGCACTTTCTGCTGCTTCACTTTAATGTCGGGGTGCTGGGGGGAATATGCCTTCAGATGTACTGCAGTTAGATTGCGTGGTTCGTTTTAGGAAGCAAATGACAGTATTGCATGGGACGCTCCACGATGTTGTTCCCCAACAAGGACAGTTCAAGCAGTCATCAAAATGTACAACCCTAGACAGGTCCTAAACCCTAAACCAAGAAAACCTTTAATCCCCAAATCCTCCATAGGTGTCGTCTCCAGCCCCCCGGGGGGGGGGGGGGGGGGGGGGGGGGGGGGGGGGGCGGGGGGCCTGTCAAAACAAAAAAGGTTTAGGGCTTTTCTTACTTTCGGTTTCCTCGAATCTTGGGGATACCCTTTGGAGGCCGGCTTTGGGGGGCATTATTTGGGGGTCGGGCTTAGTGTGTAGCATTGTTCAGCTGGACGTAGTCGTATGAAGGCATGCTCACCCAAAGACCACCCAAGCGCTACTCATAGCCTGACAGCGAGCTAATACAAATGCCAGCCGAACCAAGTTCACCCACGAAGATGTTCAGGCTCAAAGTCGAGAGGAACGAAGCTTTCCGGGAGAATCAGCCTGGTGTCTGTTGAGGGTCTATATAGATGACGGACATTTCTCATCGAAGATGCTCGGGTCCACAACCGTACGAGTCTCCCACCACAAGGGGGAGAATGGCGGCGACTATATTTGCTTAACCCCCCCAAAATTCAAGCTGTTCACCCTTTAAGTCCTGACCAACGACCCCCCCCCCCCCGTGTACGCCTCTGATGCCAGGCTGGCGCATAGCTGTGGCCTCGCAAGCTCGCGCGACTTTTGAAGGAGAGCGGACCCAACAGGCTGAGCGTGAACATGATAGCTCGTATTCGTATGGTATTCAAGTGTTGGTCTACGTACTGTATATATCGTTACAAGCTACAAGTACTTGAGGTGTGCTCTTCCAACTCTTAATCGCACGTACCTTCGTGACCTGCAGTCACAAGCCTTTTCTAGAAAACGTACTCAACAACAGACCCCCCAAGAACAGCCCACTTACCTTATCCTCATGTGAAAATGACGAAACCGTCTCTCATTGAAAGACGCTCATCACAGTGATTGCACCAATAATCGTGACAATAACCATTTTCAATGGCAATCGCGATAGCTTCTGACTAGCGGAAACATCAAGTCGTTGGGAGGTGTCGGCAACCGAGCAGCAACAATAACAAGAGAAAGCGCTCCGCTGATTGAGCCTGAAGTGTTTGTATATACTTGGTCCCGATTCTTTGGTAGCTTTGCGACAAGAGGCAAAGCTGACTCGCATGCCAGTCTTCCCGCGGGGAGGGGGGCCAGCTGAATGTCGTAGTCCCGAAGCCCTTGAAGCCCTAAAGCCTAGATAAACCTTGAACCACGTAAATCCCTTGCCAACCTTCGCTCCTTCAGCTCAGGCTCCGAGAGCTTTAGGCTTCGCGGGTCGCAAGGGTTATCAGGGTTATAGGGGTTATAGGGGTTTAGGTTTGAGGCTATTTGCCTGGCAAGTTTGGCTTTGATGGGTTTGAGGCCTTTCCGCTGTTAGGATCTACCGTCGTTTAGGCTTTGGGCTGAGGGTTCAGGAGTTCTTGATCCTAATTTAGGGTTTAGCGTTTAGGAACCCTTCAAAAACCTGAATCCTTAAATCTATGGGAGGTGGCATCTGGGTTGAACACTTTGACCCCTCTACACCCCAAGCCCTATACCGTATACCTTACACCCTAAACCATGCGGTTTAGGGTTTAGGGTTTGGGGTTTAGGGTTTCGGGAATAGGGTTTAGGATTTAGGGAGTCGCTCCAAAGCACGTTTACGCCCCGCACCCTGCAGAAGGCCCTGACAATTCGGATATCGCGCGCTTGTGAGCGAGAGGGGTCTTGCGAAGCCTGACAAAAACCTGCCCATCATCTCGTGCATCTGGTTCAGGCTTCTCGTGCAAGGATTCCGCTACGACCCTATTAACACTAAAACCCAGTTAACCCAGAACCTTAAACCCACTTCAGGCCACAGTGCAGGAAGCCTGGTTGATGTCTAGACACTGCACTTGGAACTCTTGCTTTGACTCATATCTCAATATTTAAACCCCATCAAGCCTAAACCCCCCGAAGATGGGACCACTGCAGATCCCCACAGATCTGCCACCCGAAGCTGTAGGCGCTGGTCCCTGGATGCTACAAGCTACATAAGGCTTGTGTGCATGTGCGTGTGTGTGTACTTCTTGGTTCGGTTCTGATAGTTTAGTGTTCACGGTTTTGGGTTGCAGCAGGACGCCGGGCAGTGTAGCGCGTGCCCGAGTTTCTTGTTGTCGCGTCTTCCGGCTTCCCTAGCCCTTGTTGAAAGCAAACTAAATCCAAAACTTGCTGGAGCCACCCTAAACCTTCCCACCCTGAATCCTAAGCCCTAAACCCCTAAACTCTATAACCCCGTAACCCTAAGAAGCCCTTCGCCCCGTCCTGCCGCAGACCGTTTCGGGGGGTGGGGGCTGGGGGGGGTTAGGTGTCGTTCGCCGTGGCGCCTTGAAAGGGCGCTCCGGGGGCAGCAAAGGCGGCCGGCGGGCTGCAGTTGGCGTTGCGGGCCTTGGGTCTTGGGGGCGTTGGATTTTGGGGTTTGGGGTTTGGGATTTTGTACTTAAGGGCTTGGGGGGGGCGGGGGGGTGGTTTAGGGGGTGGTTTGTAGGAGCATGAAATCTTTCAGGATGTGAGTGGGGGGGTTTTGAGAGTATAATGGCATCACCGACAGGGCGTGGGCGTGGCTTGCCTCCTGAAGCCTGTCTCCATGCCTCGCATACACTCTTCCACCCTGAGCACTAGGTCACTAGGCCGTACTCCCTAAAAACCCAGACCATTTCAGCCCCAAACTCTTTTAGGGTTTCTGGTTTAGATTAAACCCTTTCAGGACGTGAGAGCTACATATAACCTTGTTCCAGGAAGAAGAAAGCCCCGTGAGGACTGACGCTGAAACAGGTTCTTTGTAGGGAGTTACAGAATGGGTCACCTAAAGGCCCTTTACAGAGATCTGTGCAAGGTATCTGTTTCCCAAGTTCGCTACTAAGAACACCCTGAACCCTGAATATGGAAAACCGGGAAAGCTCGAAACAAGGAAGGAAAGAGTCGCCAGTGAACCCCCCCCACCCCCCCACCCCCCCCGAAGCTGCACCCTGCGATGAATATAGCGGCTGGCGTCTGAGAAGGTGCACGGCCCATAGTGCTTAGGGTTTCTTACCCCCGAAACCCCGAATGAAAAGTCGGATCCCAAACCGTGAACCCTTCCTCAGGACGAAAACATGTCATCTGGCTTCTTCAGAGGGACGAACACTGAGCAGGCGAACGGAACCGAATTGCAGGGTTACCCTAAAACCCTAAACCTTAAACCCTAAACCGTATGAGGGGTGTTGCGGGGGGACGGGGGGAGGGGGGTACGGTCTGAGGTTGAGCGTTTGGGGCGTATTCGGTACCCAGGCGCGAAACCCCATTAACATGTTTAAGGTTTTGTAGAGTCTAGGTACCCGAAACCCGAAACCCCTTCCTAAACTCTTTTCAGCTTTAGGGTCAGGGCGCAAGGAGATGTGTTCGAAGGATTTATGCTTGAGGCAGGAGTCTTGATTCACCTTCTGGGCGCTGCCGAATAAGTGAGCTGTATTCTGTTTTAGCCCTAAACCCCCTACAACCCCTCAAATCCAAAACTCCGGAAACCCCCTGAACCTTAGGGTTTAGGGTTTAGGGTTTAGGGTTTAGGGTTTAGGGTTTAAACCCTTGCTGTAGTTGGCGACTCGGGGTTCTGGATGCGGGTCTCATCCGGAACACCTTGGAAACACCCTTCGTTGCATTGTTTGGGTTTAATTGTTGAGGATTTCGGGTGTGGGGTTTAGGGGTTTAAATTTTTCCCGAACTAGTTCTTAGGAGTGAAAATTCGGGAAGTAGGTGCCACATCCCCTCCCTATTCACCCTGCAACTGCAAGGGGCTTATGGGTCACGCATTCCCGAATTCCCTACTTATAGCAAGATTGACCCTCCGCAACACCCCTTCAGTAGGCTTTGGGGTTCGTTGTGTGGTAGTCTCCCTGCACATATTCCCAGGGTTGGACTCTCGTCCTTGATGAAAAGCCCAGAAAAATGACCCTAGGGGTGTCGTCCCGAGCCATTTCTTTCAGGTCAAGCATGTCAACGCCGAGCAGAAGATCATCAAGGCGAGCATTCGAGCGAGGTGTGCAGGTAAAGCGGTACAATGCGGTACATCAAAGCCTAAGCCCAGAACCCTAAACTCTGAACATCCTAAAACCACATCCCTACACCGTGAAACCAGTTTGACTGTGGAACATCGGGTTTTTAGTTCATTTTTAGGGTTTAGAGCTTATGGTGAATTCAACACAAGCTGACTGCATCTTATCGGATGACAGTTGGGATTGTCCGTGTTCGTACAGGGGACAAGGAATGTGGCATTTGCGGCAACTGTTCGGAAAGGCCGTACTCCTTCCTGCAGAGACAACGGAACATGCTGGAACCCTAGACCCTAAGCCCCAAACCCTATAAACCCTATGTAAAACGGAGGAGATGCAGAAGAACAAGCGGTTTCCAGACCATTACGCTCAGAAGGTGGACATGTCGAAGGCGCAATTTTCGGGCTTTAGGGCAGAAGACTTTGGAAATTTGGTCCCCATGGTTGAGGTTCTGTTTTGTTTCGGCGTTTCGGCATGTCGGGTGAAGCTCAAGTAGGGGTCAGGCTTGCTGGAGATGTTCCTCTCAACGTGCGGGAGACCTTGTTCCGCTGCTCCCCCCAGCCGTGCCAATGAACTCATGCAAAATCGGTAAGACTGCGCACCGTTCCCATGCAGTCTGAAGCCGAAGTGTTTTATCTACTTGGATGGTGCCAATAAATGAATATGTGTGCGAAAATGTATCTATATATATATATATACATATATATGTATACATATATATATATATATACATTTGTTTTTTACCTTTTTTTTTTTTATAAATGTATACATAAAATGTATACATGTACGCATATGTATATGCCCCAAGCCTCATGTGAGTTACTAAGCACATGGTCAGTGCCAGCAAGATTCGCCAGCGCACCCTCGACCCTGAACCCTATTAACCCACAGAAAGCCTTTTACGCCCCCGAACCCCTGTAGACCCCAAAGCCACTACAATCCCTATCAACCCTGGAACTAGGACCCCATAAACCCCATGAACCCCTATAAACCGCTGTAGACCCCACAAGCCCCACAAACCCTACAGTAAGCTCCCGGGTCGGAGTGAACTGGGCCATTCGCCCTATAAGAGCCTAACCCTAAGACTAGGAGAGACCGCTTTTGGCGCTTTTCGGCTTACGGGCTTGTGGTGTAGGGTTTTGGGGTTTGGGGTGTAGGGTTGAGAGCCTAAGTGCTTGGGACTTCAGTAGAATCCTGAGCGGGTGCAAAAGCTGGTCTGTTTTTTCCGGGAAGCCAAACCAGAACTCAAACTCCCAATCGCTTCGGCCTCCCAACCCTCCCCTCCAAGCACCGCAAACCCTTGTAGGGTTTCGGGCTTGCAGCCTGCGCGCTATGAGATGACATGCCTTGCGCTGCCAGGTCTCCATGGACGTCATGAAGCCATGGATTGCCAAGCGCATCACGGAGATGCTGGGCTTCGAGGATGACATCGTCGTCGAGCCCTCCTGGCAGATTTGCTGGGTCCAAAGTTAGCCAATACTGCAACCCTAAACCTGAAGCCCGAAACCCCAAAACCCTAAGCCCTAAACCCTAAACCCTAAGGAATATACCCGAATTCGTTCAAACCCCTAACACCTGAGCTGTAGATTCCCGCAGCACCGGTTGGGGGTTCAGGGGCCTTGACCCGAAGCCCTAAAAGTCGAAGCCTTTGAAGCTCAACGCCTAAACCCTGTAGGTTAAGGGGTTCAGGGTTTAGGGTTTCAGGGTTAGGGGTTCGGGGTTCAGGGTTTAGGGGTTCGGGGTTCAGGGTTTAGGGTTTAGGGTTTAGGGTTTAGAGGGTTTAGAAACGTTTTTGCCGCCAGCTTCTGCGTGGCGCAGCTGTCGGAGCCCGGGGACAAGGGCCTCGACCCAAAGTTGCTCCAGGCACCGGGTTGGGTGGGCTGTAGGGTTTAGGGTTTAGGGTTTAGGGTTTAGGGTTTAGGGTTTAGGGTTTAGGGTTTAGGGTCCAGGGTTCCAGCTTAAGAGTTTAGGGCTTAAGGACTTTAGGGTTTTGGCTTAGGGGCTTCATGGTTTTTGGAGGTTTATTTGGGGCAAGAAGTTTGGGGTTTGGGATTATAGGGTCTTACAGGGTTTTACGGGGCTTCAGTGCTGAGAAAGCAGGGACTTCGGGGGTTCAAAGCTGCCTGGGACATGGTTGTGTTAAGCCCCCAACCCTACACCCCCGAAACCCCCCTAAACCCCCTTCCTGAACCGCCTAAACCCCCCGCAGCCCCCTCAACCGTCTAAACCGTCCGCACCGTCTGCACCGTCTGAACCGTCTGAACTGTCTGAAACTTGAACCCTGAGTCACTGAGAACCACAACCCCGCAGACCCACCCCTTGCCGGAAGGTGAACCTCACGGGGTTCTTGGAAAGGAAGGCCGGGGGCCAAAGGGGTTTGCCTGAATAAGGTTCCAAGAAAGCGTTCTGCAGGGTTTATAGGGTTTCGTGCTTCGGGGTTTAGGGGGAGCCTTTCTGTAGGGTTGAGTGCTTTAGGGTCTTTCAGGCTTGGGGCGTGTCGCCTGAAGAGGCGTTGCTACAGCGCTTTCAGCAGTAGAGCCCATAGAGTCGCTGCGTTCGCCCCCCCCCCCCCCTCAACAAGAAAAATCTCCTCACTCTCGATAAGGTCCCCAACCAAGCCTTCGACCTTCAGCCCTCCAAATTCTCGACCCTAAAACCTCAGCCTTCCACCCTCCAAACCCTATAAACCCTAACACCCTCAACTTGGGGATGTTCCCCCCTTATACTAGCAGTCCTTCATCGGGATGATAGTACCCCTATTATTAATTCCTATGAAGGACTGGTAGTATAAGGGGGAACATCCCAACCCTCAAAGCCCTCAAAGCCCTCAAAACCCTCAAAACCCTCAAAACCCTCAACCCTGCCTTGGCAAGGCCGGCCCTTTCTGCTCAGAGCTCTGGCAGCACCTCCTGTCGGCTCAGGCCAAAGAGCATACACCGGGATTTATCTTGTTGTTCTTGGGTTCAGGGTTTATGGCTTGAGGTTTCGGGAGTCAGGTCTTAGGACTTTAGCGTTCCATTGCAATTCAGCTTCAGGATGTCGTTTTTTTTGCCAGTGAGTGTGTGTGTGTGTGTGAGTGTGTGTGTGTGTGTGTGTGTGTGCACGTGCGTGTTTTTTGAGCTTTTGATTCTTCAGGAGTGTTTTTTTTTCGGAGGGTGGATTGGTTGACCCAGAACCAAAAATCCTTGAACCCCACACCCCAAAAACCACAAGACCGAGACCCCAAACTTCGTAAACACCAGGCACCTGATCCCGATTTTATCCCTCCAGTCTAAACCCTAAACCCTAAACCCTAAACCCTAAACCCTAAACCCTAAACCCTAAACCCTAAACCCTAAACCCTAAACCCTAAACCCTAAACCCTAAACCCTAAACCCTAAACCCTCCAGTGCCCCTAGACAAACCTGACCTTGCCCTTGACGCAGGAAAGTCCGGTCGGGGTTCCCCGCGAGTTCATCGACCAGAAGAAGGAGGGCTTTTGGTTTCGGGGTTAGGCGGGTGAGGGGTTTGAGTGTGAGCATTTGGAATTTAGGCGTACGGGTTTAGCGTTTAGCGTTCAGCTTTGACGCCCTGAAGCCCTCATGGGGGCTGGTGGATGTGCACCTGAGCGGTAAAGACCAGTGCCCGAGAAACTATCCTCAGAGTGCCAGCCTCACAGCTACACCCGAATCACGTTTCATGGTTTTGCAATGAGGCTTGCGCTTTCTTGCTTGCTAAAGCTCAAAAATACCCTGACCAAACAAGCCGACATAATGTACCCCAAGCCAGACAATCCATGCACGAAGCATAGTCCGGACTCCCCTGACAAGACAGATGGCATGAATCCCAATGTGCTGAACCCATCATGAACGCCTTAGCCGTCTCACTGCTGGAGCCCTAAACCCTAAACCCTACACCCTAAACCCTAAACCCTCAACCCTCAACCCTCAACCCTCAACCCTCAACCCTAAACCTTAAACCCTAAACCCTAAACCCTAAACCCTAAACCCTAAACCCTAAACCCTAAACTGAACAGGACGAGCTCAAGAAGAAGAAGGAGGAGGCAGAGAAAGTGCAAGAAGAGTTGAAGAGGCGGAGGTCGGCTGCCACCCACGCTTTTGATGGGGGGGCGTGGTTTAGGGTTTAGGGTTTAGGGTTTAGGGTATAGGGTATAGGGTATAGGGTATAGGGTATATAGGGTTTAGGGTTGAGGGTTTAAGCCAAACCCCCAACCATCGGTGTAGGCTTTAGGGCTTAGGGCTTAGGGTTTAGGATTAAGAAAATCCCTCGGCTCCGGTGTACCTCAGCTCTTGCTCCCTCAACCCCTAAACCTTGAAAACGCCCTGAACCCTGGGGGGTGCTGCATTTGGGGCTTAGGGTTTAGGGTTCCGGGTTTAGGGTTGAGGTTAACACGAAAGATGCAGCTTCGTGCCTGGAGAGCTGTGTAGAGTGGCTGAGGGTCGATTCGGGGGTGCTTGGGCGGGCTTCGGGCCGTTTGGGCTTTAGCGTGAGAACTTGGATTTAGGGTTTAGGGCTTAGGGCCTAGTTTAGGGTACTTCGTAGCTTAGTTGCGAGGGAAAGCCAGATGACTTCTGTCCGCCAAAGACGCAACACTCAGCCAGAAAGCGCGCCCGAACAGGAGCGGCCTTTGGAATCCCTGGTACCCTATAGGGTTTAGGGTTTAGGGTTTAGGGTTTATAAGGGTTTAGGGTTAAACCCTAAACCCTTTTCTTTGGTACAGTAGCCTTACCAATTTTCAGGGTACCCTTTTTGAACAGAGACCCCTCTTCTGAGGCAAGATCTGGAAGAAGCTTCGAGTCTCGGCGTACTTGTACAGATTACGCTCTGAAACCCCCTACTGCAAACCCGAAACTCTTCTGGGCTTCGGATTAGGGTTTAGGGTTTAGGGTTTAGGGGGGTTTAGGGTTTAAGGTTTAGGGTTTAGGGTTAGGGATATGGGTTTAGGGCTTTTTTGGGTTTAGGGGCATCGGCACCATGATCCCGGGTGTGGCAGGGTTCTTTCGCAGGGATCCCATATATGGATCCCCAAATAGTAGGATCCCCCTTATGACAAGGACCCCCCAATAAGGTACCGCTAATTGCGGAAACCCCCAAGTGAAGCCCTTGACCTTAAATCCTCAGCCCTAAACCCGAAGCCCTAAACCCGAAGCCCGAAACCCGAAGCCCTATACCTTGTCCGAAGCCTACCAACCGAGGAAGCTCGAACGTCGTGATCCTCCATCTCGAGAGGCTTTGGCTTGAGAGTCTGAGGGTGTGAAGGGTTTGAGAGTTTGAGGGTTTTGGGCTTAGGGTTTAGGATAAAAAAGTGGGTGTATAGGGTTTAGGGTTTGGAGGGACAAGCGTGGAATGTGTCAGGGTCGTCGTGTCTAGGGTCATGGGCTTTAGATGGTGCTGGCTTTGGAGCGTATGGGGTTTCGAGTTCTGTGAGTTGAAATCTCACAAAATCTTTTTTGGTCTGAGTCTTGGGTCACACTTGGGCCTCAGTAGGAACTCCCATCATGGTCCTCTTCACACATAGGGACATCAGCTCAGCGAAAGGTCCTAAATCCGGAAGAAACCGCGAACCACTACGCGCCCCAAAGCCGAAGAGCCTAAAGCGCCCCGAGCCCTACAACTCTCAACCTGAAACTTTAAGCACACTTGATGACACAGGATGGCGGCCGATCGCGGAGGTGCGACGGGTTGCCGCTACGACTTGAGCCTCAATCCTGTAGACCGTAGAAGATGCCAAAAGCCTCTAAGCCCCTATATAAGCCCCTGAACCCTGAACCCCAAAAAGGTTGAGATGAACCATCATTTCGGACGGCTCCAACAGCTAAAGCCCTGCAGCCCCAAAGCGCAAATCTGGGGCTGAGGTTGCCAGAGACCATACCCTAAAGACCCTGTACCCCTTGGGTTTAGGGTTTAGGGTTTAGGGTTTAGGGTTTAGGGTTTAGGGTTTAGGGCCCTAAACACATAGGGTTTTCACTCTCTCAGGGCACATGGGGGTAGAGGGTTCATGGGTTTTATGGGCCCCGGTTTATGGGGCTTCTCAGCTGGGGGTGATGGGGCTTCTGGGGCTTATAGGGCTTAGCTGAATGAGTACACTTTTTACACTTTTTGGATACTATAACCCCTTATATAGAACTGAAAGTGTACACTTTGGGGGGGGGGGGGGGGCTTATAAAACTCAGCAGCTAAGTTTCGGTTTAGGGTTTAAGGGTTTCGGTTTCAGGGTCCCAAGAAATCATGGGCGCAGGGACGACGACCGCGGCCGCGACGACCGTGGCAGGGATCGAAGCAGAGACCGGCGAAGGGACCGTGACGATGTGGCCGGCCTGCATTTTTGCAGAGGGGCTTAGGGGGCTTGCTGAGCCCTAACCCCTAAGAGCCTAAGCTTTTCAAGCTACTAAGCCCTATAAGCCCCTATAACTCCTAATTTCCTGAGCCCTAAACGCTGTAAACTCTCCATTGTTGGTTCAAGTTTAGGGTTGTCAGGCCCAGGGTCTTTGTGTTTGCAGGGATTCCTCTGTTGCTGTGAACACGGTATGAGGGTTTTTTTGGGCCACCAGATCTTGCCGAAGCCCCGAATCCTTGCGGACTAGGTTTAGGGTATATAGGGATCACAGCTTAGGGTTTAGGGCGTAGGGTTGAAGGTCCTTGTGCAGACTTTCCGAGGAGAGAGGCCGCGGCCGCGATGATCGTGGCCGCGATGATCGTGGCCGTGACCGCGACGATCGCGTTGGCCTTCCAAAGTTGAACCCCCAACCCCTGAAACCCTGTTAGGGTTTAGGGTTTAGGGTTTAGGGTTTAGGGTTTAGGGTTTAGGGTTTAGGGTTTAGGATTATGGGTTCCCCGACCCCCTGCGCCTCTCTACTACCCCCTCTGGGTTCACCCCCTTAAATCACCTTAATTAGAAGTTGAACCCCTAAACCCCCAAACCCTGAAACCCTGTTGGGTTGGCCAGAATCCACAACCCCTACACCCGCAGGCGCCTTCGGACCCTACCCCTACACTAGAATGGCCCGTGGCATCGATCAGCAGAGTGCCTTTTCATGCACAAACAAGATCACAACTCTGACAAGCACCAAACCCTAAACCTTGCATGTGCCTGAAACTGCAAGCCCGAATTCCAAGACCCTGATCAACCCTGGCCCTACACACGAATCCCCACGTCGTTCGTAGGGCAACTCCCAAAGAATCCCAACACCCCTGGACTAAGACATGTTCCCTAAACTCTAAACCCTAAACCCTAAAACCCTGAACCCTGAACCCTAAAGCCTAAAGCCTGAACCCTGAACCCTATAAACCCTAAACACCTTTAACTCTACACTTCCCAAGTTGCCGCAGCCAGGACCGCCGGCGTGAGCGGCAACGCGAGAGGTCCGAGTCCGGCGCTTGAAGGAGCTTGACCATTTCAGGTTTAGCGTTTAGAGTGGTAGTTTTTAAACTCCTAAGTTTTCAAACTCCTATATACGGGACCCTTGTTAAAAGGACCTAAGTTTGGAGAGCTACCCAAATGGGTTCGGTGTTCTATGTCGATTATGAATGAACAGTAGCGACAGAGAATGCGAAAACACAAGCTCAAATATGTTGGTGTCTTGCCGGGAAAGGGCTTAGGATTTGGGCTAAGTGCTTATTAGGATTCAGGCTGGCCATGTCGGACCTTCGGCAAGTTTTACGCCCTTTGGGCACGCTTTGTTAAGCAAGACTGCACATGTTGGATGCGTTCAATCTTCGCATGTAAGTGCATTCTTGAAGTCAAAGTGGCAGTAGTACTGTAGGTTTGGTGGCTGCAGGTATATGTCTCCGCGATTATAAGGCGCAAGTCTTGCTGCTAAGCACTGGGAACCCGCTGATTCGCGCCTGGCCTTGCGGGTCAGTCTAGCGTAATCGATGATCTGCTAGTTCAAACCCAAACGCATCACCAGTCCAGCGTGTAGTACACTCCTCTCCGGCAGTTCTTCTCGTTCCAAAACGAGCGCTGCCTCCCTCGGGTGCAGATGCCACATAGTCAGTTCAACGCGCTAGGCTCGCACTAGCTCCGCAGCCTCAGAAGGTATGACCCGGTTGTGACCTGCCGTCTCGCGAGCAGGGTTCTAAAGAAATCCGGCGCATGTCGCCAGCCCTGTCCGAGGTATCGCCTCAGAACGTTATCAGGGTTGCGAGAGCGTGGTGTCGATTCGCACAACGCCTTGGTTGCGCGTGTCGCAGGGGCCACCTGAGCAGGAGGGGGGTTGGGGGCAGGTGGCAGGGCAGAGAGCGGGAGCCTAATTAAACTTCCACTATTTACAAACCTCTTTACAAACCCATTCACAAGCTGATTTAAATAGGCACGGGCTCTCACGCGGGCACTGAACATAAATCCTCCAATGTTGAATTATAATTCCACGTCCTGGTTCCACGTGCGCAGTTGCTTCCCCCCTGAAAACGGAGTTTGTTCATGGGCTTGTAAATAAGTTTGTAAATGGATTGTACCTTGGATGGGGAGTTTGTACATCATGGTCCCACCCACCCCCCACGCCCCTTCCCTGCCCCTGCCTGGCCGTGCTGCATGTGCCTCCCTGCCCCTACCACCACACCCTTCCCAACCACCCCTCCCCGTCTTGCTGCTTGCTACATTCCTCCCCCGCGCACACGCCCATGCACCGGCAGCCAACAAGGAGGAAGCCACGATTTTCAAATCCCAACGCAACAAAACGGATCGACGCCGGCTGATGTACTCTACTCGTCAATCAAGAACCCGAGCTAAGGGGCGCCCCACGCGCGCACACATATGCACCGGCAGCACTCAAGGAGCAAGCCACGAATAGTCAATTCCCCAGCAGAACAGAAGGGACCGACATCGCTACTTCCGGAGGTTCAACATCATACTGCCACACGGTCCCCAACACAACACAACGGACCGACATCGTTCAACATTATATTGCCACAGAACTCTCCATGACACGTACCGTGATACGTGTTACTCTCTTGTTTCATGAGCACTTTGCTAGTGCAAGTTGAGCACGAGTGCCTGCGATACATGCGGGGACGGGACTCGTACAGAAGGCAGCCAGAGTACGTGGTTAGGAAGACTGTAACAGCGCCACGTAGCAAGCAGTTCTATAGCCAGCTCGAGCTCGCCCGAAAGCAGCCGAAGCCCTTCTGCGCGAGCAGCCTTTTTCTTCTCAATCTCAGGCGCCGGATCCCTGTAAACCCTGAGCCCTAATAACAACTCGAAGCCCTAAAGTTCTGAAGCCCTCGCGAGTTTTGACTAGGTCGGGAAGTCCCAAGCCGCGCGGGAAGCGGGGCGACAAGCAGCTCTGGCCGATGTTCGGGGTCTAGTGTTCTGGGAATTGGTCGGAAGTTTGAAGGGTTCAAACCTACGGTTTCATTGCGGGTTTAAAGGGCTTCGGGTTGGGTGGAGTTGTTGTTTTTTTCTCAGTTTATGCAGCCCAAGTATGGTACCATGTCAAAACCCTGGTTCCTGCAGAAGCCTGTAGTGCGCTTTGGGCTCGCATGGTTCAGGGCTTAAGGTTTCCCTAAGCCCTGAACCCTAAACCCTAAACCCTAAACCCTAAACCCTAAACCCTAAACCCTAAACCCTCAGGCATCCTTATTTTTTCGGTCGATTCTTTACACCCTCAATCAAGCCCTTCAACCCTAAACTTGCTGCTTCCAGGCTGGGGGTCTTCTGGTTTAGTTTGGCGGCTTTAGGATACTGGTTTAGGGTTTCGGGTTTAGGGTTTAGGGTTTAGGGTTTCGGGTTTAGGGTTTAGGGTTTAGGGTTTAGGGTTCAGGGTTTTGGGGCATGAATCTTGAATCCCATGCCCAAAACAATAAGAACCCTGAATCTGAACCCGAATGTAAGTCGTTTATACCCTGAACTCCATCCACCCTGTCCCTCAACCCTAAACCCTAAACTCGGCATACCATGTAAACCATGCAGAGGTGGTTTCGGGCCAAATTCCGGTTTCAGGCCTCTGGCCTAAAGGGCATTGGGGGTTGCAGGGGGCTTCAAGGGTTTTCGGGCATTATGGGTTTTACAGGGGTTTGGGGGTTTGCATGCTGTATAGGGCTTGGGTTCAAGAACGAGGGTTTCCTTGGGGTTTACAGAGTTTTTTCTGGCGAATATAGAGTTGACAGGGTTACGTGGTTAAGATCATTTGCTTCTGAACTGAATCGGAAGGCCTTATAGGGCCATTATAGGGTTACAGGGTGTAGACGGTTTTTGTTCTTCTCCTTGCTTGTTTGTGCGTTTTTTTTCTCACAGGGTTTATGGGTTTTAGGGTTAAGGGTTTGCATTGTCCTGAACTGAAGTTGGGGAGCTCCAGAACCACCCGTTCCCGGTACATTACCGCCAGCCCCTAGACCCCAAACCCCAACGCCATCCACAGATGACCCCCCCCCCCCCCCCCCCGAAGAAAGTGAAGCGGATGCAACCTATAAGGCGCTTCCAATGGGAAGACTGAGCCACCGGTGAAAGCCAACTTGAAAGGAAGTTGAAGGGAAACTTTCAAGGCTTTAGGGTAACATGCTAGGTGTCGTTTGGTGCTTAGTATGTTTGTTACATGCATGGGTGCGCAAAAACTGAAGGAATCGGTGGCTATCAAGTGGGTTAGGGTTGTGCGCTCCTCCAAAATTGCGCATTTCCTTCTTGCACTAGACTCTGTAACGTATATGGATTGCAAATCAACCCTAGGCTGCTGTAAATGGATCACCTGGTCTGTTGTGGGGTGGGGCTGGGGGGGGCGGGGGATCCTGACATGTTTTTGTTCACTGTGAGATGATTACGTAGGGGGCTCAGGGCTGCTGGGTTGGGGGTTTGCAGCTTTCGTTTTTTTTTTTAAAGTTTGGTCGGGGTTTAGGGCTTATTTGGGGTTTTTGGGGGGTTGAGCTTGCAAACCAACATAAGCCTAGTGACCGCCGTCGCATCCATGAAAAATGTTTGGGTATAACTTCGCCTTTTTAGCATGTTAGCGCCCTTACACAATTCAAGAGCCAGAAAGGTCACCAACTCTCCATCACCCTCGATGAATATAGTTGCAGCAAAGGTTGAAACAGTCGAAGTTCCTATTCCTCGTGAACTCGGCACCTGAACCTTGGAACCTTATGAGCTGCTCTGACTACCTGTAGCCTTATACACTCTTTTAGGGTTTGACCAGGGTGCTCGGGCCTGGAAGGACGCGTGTGCGCGCGTGAAATACTGGAGATGAATGATCTATCGCGGCGACTCAGGCAGAAAGCCCCAGGTTCGAAAACAGGCCGAAGCCATCGGAGATGCTGAACGACGGACGGGTGTAGTATAGACACCGGTACTAATTTTTTTATGTCAAGCCCGCAGTATATTAGGCATGAGAGGGCAAGCAGGGCTCATGCA